GAGAGTTGAAAGATGAATGTAAAGTTTTTTGTTTTTAATGAGAACTCAGAAGCAGTATTTGGAAGAAAGAAGGGTTGAATCTACCATTTTAATAATTCCGTGCATAGTAATTAGGTAATCTACCAGCATTATGCTGCTTCGCCGGCATTATAAAAATCATGCGTATGTCATGTATCACTAGTTATTACTCGCTTCTCTATCACATTCTGCAACTTTTCAATAAAAATCACCTTCAAACTAAATTATTTGTAGGCATAATACAAATAAATACAAAGTATCTCGTGCAATGTAAATGCTCTCGTTACTTCAAATTCAATTATTCATCATTTAGTATTATCAACTTTTTTTTTATATTATTAAGAGAATACTTATTAATAATTGAATTCTCTAATTTTAATTATCAATTATATTTTAATAGTATATCAAAGACTTTAACTGGCCGATCTATGATCGGTCATAAATGTAACTGTTGACATCCTTAATTATAACGGACGAAAAAAAGGAAATGTGCGGTTATCAAAATTGTAATGCAGAATAATTAATAGTTACTATCTCAACAAAGTAGGAAACTTTAGCTACTCAGTTATATAATATATTGATTCTGAACGTCGAAACACTATATATCATAGTGTTATGAAGTATTTCATGTGATTTAGAAAAAAAGTATAATCAAATTCTTGAAATTTATTTGCAATTTGAAAACATTTTCGATATATGATTTTAAAAGGGTGACCAACTCAAATTTGTTAGAACTTTGAGCTGATGAAAAAATATAACATGACGAATATCTTTTTTAGAAAGGCTACCATTATTCTTCATCTTCATTGAATAAAACATCTGGTTCTCTAACTTCTTGTGAGTATATTTTACGACCTGTAGCCATTTCTAAAAGCTCTAACTCTCCAGGGTGACTATCTAACACTGAACGCTTTGGACCATTTCGAACTTCATCCAAATCAACTTGTGTTGGTCTTACTGACCATACTATTTTTCACAAAAATTGTTTAAATTCTAACAATGTTAATTAACAAAAATATTAAAAGGAAAATTATTAAATCAATCCTACCTTCAACTTCATCTATTAGAAAATCTTCTTGCTTAGATAATCGTGGACTCCCATATGTTGATGAAAGAGATGCAGCTTTTGAATGTCCGTGAATAAAATCAGAATCAATCCATAAACCGCCTGTTTTTAACACAAACAATATCAGTGACAAACAATCCAGATACTATAATAACAAACATTTCTTTTTTTGACATAACATACAATAATCAAACTGTCCACCCATAGCAAATCCTAAATTTTGATCAAAGAATTACATTAGCAAAATAATTTAAATCTTATTATATAATTTCAAAAATTAAATCACACTAACCATTTGGTAAAGTTTTTGCACCAAAATTCAAATATTGAAAGTTATTGTTATAACCCGTAGTAGGATAACATCTTAATTTAGGTCTAGCAGAAAATAAAAAGTTTTTGTTATCACCGTAAAACTTGGAAGTTTGTTTCCAATCTTCATATGCAAATCCACCGAATGTATAGCCATCTTTATCCCTTATTATGATATACGTAGATCCTTGATACATTAATGAATCAACAAATGCATTCCAACTTCCTCCATCAAGTGCTGATGAAAATAATAATATATGTTGTGTGTTTCTACAATCTAATGGTAAATTATCATTTAAAAAATAATAATCTGCTGGTGATAATAGATATGAGAATTCCATCAATTTATATCGTGAATGAATTTCTGGTGAGATTTGATTAGAAAATCGTAACTTATTCATTCCTTCCACTGAATTATATGGAATTGTCTGGTGTAAGAATAATCGATTTACCAATATGTTGAATAAATGCTGAAATAGTAAATTATTAGTGTACCAATCCATAAATTGTCCTTGATCAAAATACCCTTTTGTTTTTGTTTCTTTAATAAAACTGGCTAAAAATTCGTCATCTTCTGTCTCTTTATGTTTAATTTTTGTCTTTAATAGTACTAAATCAATCAAACACATATCTTCTTTAAATAATTTATTGCTTTCTTTTTTTAATTTTTTCTGCTCAGGTGAATAACAACCTTCAAACCAATATGGCAGTGCTGCTCGAACGACATCTCTCACAAAATCTATAAGCGTACTTTGTGATAACTGTCCTATAATATATACTGCTTGAGATCTATCAATTGGTATATTTTTCACCAATTTATGAATCGCTGATACAAACCCAGGCTTAGTTATCACAATAGATGTCTTTTCCGAATTTTTAGTTAAAAATGATTTTTCAACTGACATCGATTGAAAATATGTAACAAATCCATTTTTGAGTGATTCACTAATCGTTGATGGAAAGAAATTCTAATAAACATATAAAGTATTACTCGTAATTTTGAATGTTGTACATGAAAAAAATTTAATAATATCTTTCAACTTCCTACTTTGATACTTGTTGCTATTACTTCTACTGTTTTAGCCTTTTGTACATCAGAATTATCAGAAGTGAACTCGTCAAATACTTTTATGAGTGTAGCCTTTTCATCTTCTGAAAACTCTAAAAATATTTCCAAATATTGTGCTTCAGATGCCTTACTTTGATGACTACCCATTTTTTTAATGAATACGCTGAAAAGAAATGGTGTGGGAATAACTTAATAGGGAGTAGGGATATTAAATAGCCCGGTCCGGTCCATCCAATTAAATCGATAATATATTGTAACATAAGGGGGCTTTCAGTGATATTTACAGATCATCTTGCACAACATAAAATTCGAATGACATAGTTATGACGCAGAATTTGCAGGCGCTATCCTAATTTGGCTATTTGCATTAATGATACGTATAATGGCAAATTTATGAATTTTTGTGATTTCTTGCTTTTTTTCGTATTATTTTTTTTTTACAGTTTGATTGTAGAAATCACAGGACCGCCAAATTTTTGTGCTATGACTAATTCTTTTCAGGACAATTTTTATTTTAAATCATTCATGTTTTTTAATGCCTTTAAGTTTTCAAAGTTAATTTATAAATTATTTTATTTATATTTACCAGGAACAAGGTATGAAATACGGAGGGTATGGTATCCTGGTGTTACAGGCTGGATGGCAGGGAACGGAGATAGAAGAAATGCGACGAATTGTCGCTACGAAATCGTTGACGTCGCGTAACGTTGCTCAAAAGCGAGAACGAGCAGTTACGATTTGGCACGGGTTAAGGCGGCTTTTGAGGGCGTTACCAGATAAGAACAGAGACTTTTAAAGAGTATTTTTATTTTATATTGATATGATAAAGGGTTTTTATTAACGATTTTTATTATTTTTTTGGGAGTTATATTTCTACTGACTTGACTGCTCTTACAAGAAGGAAAATTCCACTTCTATTTATAATAAATTTTTTGTAAGAGAGGTACAGTAGACCGTAAAAGTAACGCCCGATGATATACTGTATATGGTATAATAACTTTATGATTTAATAAAAAAAATAAAGTACTTAATTGGCACTGGTAATAATCATATATGATAAAATACAAATGTCAAATTTTCTAATCATATAAAATAAAAAAAATATTTATTATCAAAATTTTTGATTTTTAACAAGTTTAAAAAATTGTACTTTTACTATGTTTTTACTATATAAATTTTATAAAATTTAATTGTAAACTTTATGTTATATTAAAACTTAATATTTTTTAAAATATTAATTTTTAATTTATATTGTTCATAAAATATAAATTTTATAAAATTTAATTGTAAACTTTATGTTATATTAAAACTTAATATTTTTTAAAATATTAATTTTTAATTTATATTGTTCATAAAATATAATAGTAATATGATTAATAACTATGGTTTAAATTTTTTTAAACTATTTTTAAAATTTTATATTAAATTTTAAAGTTAAATTTATAAATTTTATGTTTTATATATAAAATTTTTGATCATAAACTTTATAAATTAAAAAAATATATATGTCAATTTTTTTGACTGATGAAAATTATATATTATAAAATATAAATATTAAATTTACTAATTATATAAATAAAAAAAATTTTGATAGAATATATTAACTTTATAAGTTATATAAAATTTCAATTTCTTATATGTTTTATTATAAAAAACTATTGGATATTACTTTTGCTGTTTACTGTACATACAAGATTGTAATCTTTTTTTATTGCTTTTATTGAATTTTTAACTCATTTTATTCTTATTTATATTAATTTCTTTAGCATTTTTTATGATCAAAATAGTACAGAAGAGAAATATTTCAATGTTATTTTTTCTGTATTAAAATGTTAATATTGTCATTATAATTAAACTTCTTTGATCACAGCTTCATCTTTACTCAAACAGACTAAAATTATACTAATATCATTTTTAGTTATCATAGTATAAACAAATAAGTCTCAATTGATTTTTGCTTATTAGGTAGATAATGGTCTTTATACTAAATTTGATATATAATTTTTTTTATTGCATAGTTTTGATCAAGTTTTAATATATATTTCTAATAAATTATTATGTATATTACTGATTTGGTAAATAAATTACTATAATAATTTTTTTTTAGTTTTAGCAGTTGTCATGATTTTGCTTTTGACACTATTAAGTAAAGTTAGATACTATATTGTAACTTTATATACTAATATGTATATGCATTTGTAATAATTATTATTATCTAAATTTACTATACTATAATATTTTATTTTTTATTATTTTTTTTTTTAAATATTAATAGTAAATATTTTATTTTTTAAATAATACAATAAATTATTATTATTATTATTATTTTTAAAGATAAAGTTTTGCTTATATCTTTATTAATTTGTTAAAGATGCTTTTTATTTTATAAAATTTTTTTGCCTCTGAATATGTTTATTCTTAAAAGTATTTAACAATTTTTAAAAAAATTCATAAAATTATTATTAGTGTTAAAGTAAGTTATAATACAAGCTAATAGTTTGTATTAATAATTTTGATTGTAAAATAATTAATAACTTGTTGTTGATTAAGTTTGATACTATTATATTTTTGTGTAACAATGCTTTAGTAAATTTTTAAATATTAATAAAAATAATAGCTTCATAGTTTAGAATTTGTTTTAGTTTGATTAATAGTATATATAATCTTTTTAGCTTTGGTTACAAGATTATCAAGAAGTTGTATAAAATTTTTTTTTAAAAGTAGATTCATATTTAGCATTAATATAAAAGATTAAAGCTTTAATATTAAATTGTTTTTAAATTTTACTTTTTGTTTTTGAATATTCTAAGTAAAATTCATTTAAAATTTTATTAATAAGATTGCTATAGTTGTATTCATATTGGTAAATAAGTTGGTTGTTGCTAAGTATAGTTTATTTTGCTTTTTTTTTTCTTTAAAGTTTGTTTTAGTAAAATGTATATAGTTAAAATCAGTATATACAATATATAGATATAATAATTAGCATATTAGATAGCCTTATTGCATTATTTTTAAAGATTGTAAGATTCAATAAAAGAAATTTTAGTAGAAAGAAGTTCTTTGAAATGTTTAATAAATTGTTGTCAAAATTAAAAACTTAGTGTATTTTTAATTTTAGTTTTATTAAGAGGTTTAGTAAATTAACAGTTATATAAAAAAAAATTTTGTAAACTATTAATTAAAATGAATTATAAGGTGTGATAACCTAGTGAAGTGGTCAGATTGTCAAGCCTCCAAGTGGTAGGTTGGGTGTTCAAATTCTATTGATAGTAAAAATTTAGATAATTACCTATATAATATTCAGATTACAGCAACTGTTACTAATGATAGAATTAGAATACTTATAATAATGATTATACTAGCATGACTGGCAGGTTATATGGCATTTGTGCAATGTTAGAGTTATACAGAGAAATGCAAACTAACAACTGGTTAGTGCAAACACTAGATAAGTCCTTGTAGCTATGTAAATCTATTAAAATTGAGTAACAAAAAGTTTATTTAGGAAGACCTAAGTAAAGAGGTAACTGGATCTTTGACAGTATTACTATAAAGGCTAGCTTAGAAAAACAAATATCCAGATCTTAGTAACCAGATAGGCAAGAACCTTTGAGTTGAGAGTTTTGAAGATACTACCAACTAGGCCATCAGAACAAACCAAAAAAAAAAAATATTAGACTAACCTGATATACTAATAGACTGGTTAAAGTTCTATATGAGCTATCTGAATTGGAAGTTTAACAAAATTCAGAGGTATATCAAAGTACTAGGGTTATGCTATGAAGTAGATGCTAGGGTCTAAGTGAACTCTACAAGGTTAAAGCAGATTAATGGTTAAGTCCTGACCACAAGTGTTAGTTTTGCTATAGCAATACCTAGATCAGCTGTAAAAATAGATACAGAAGGCTCTGGAGGGTTTATTTCAAGAATAAATTAGTCCTAAGGTTGAGATGATGATCTGGGCATCTGAAAATGACCTAGTGAGTTAATACAGATTACAGGTTCAAAGGGTTTAAAGTAAAACACTTAAGCAGAGATGTTAAATATAGCAATTGGTAGGAAACCTTTAGACAGACTCTTTAAATAGGCAATATAAAAAACTTATACATATAGCCAATTGTATGCTCTTCTGTAGTAGTTTATTGAACCACAATACTGATAAGTGATTAATAAAGGTCAAAAGACCAAAGAGGTCACCTTAAAAATATATATATATATTAAAATGAATTACAAAATTGTTAAGTAATAGAATGTTGTACTTTTTAAGAAAAAAAATTTTAAGAATATTAAAGAGATAGTAAATATTAAATTTGTTTAGAAACAGTTAAGAAAGTTTGATAAGAAAAAATAATAAGAAAATTGGTAATTTGAGACAATATTTTGGAAGATTTGAGTAAAAATTTCTTGGTTTAAGATAAGCTAACTTTATATTAAAATAAGTTAGTTATCAGATAAGATAATAAATTTTATTATTTTAGTATCATATTTTTTAATTTAATAATAATATTTATTTGTTTTAGTATAACCAATTGAAACAAAGCATTTAAAACAAATATAATAATATATATCAGATATAAAAAATAAAAAAACTACTATTAGTAAAAAAAAAGCTTAGATATAAGTTATTAGATTGATTTATTATGTTTTTGGAACTGCTGTTAATATAAACAGTAGTGAATTTAATAGCTTAAATATAATTAGTATTGAAGATTAAGATAAATTTGATATAATATTTAACACAGAAGCAAGTAATTATAGAAATAAAGATAGAAGTTTGAAAAAAATAAATAATTTTGTATAATTTAAAATTTTTTGTTAGATAGAAGTAGATTGAATTTTGAAAAAAATTAGAAAACATTGTTGCTATTTTCTTCTTTATAAAAAATAATTCTAAAACTATTAGAATAGTTTTGATAAAAATAATTAAAGTTTGCTATGTCAAGCTCTTAGTAAGTTATTTTTAAGTATTGACAAATTAAATAAATATTGTATTAAAAACTTAAAAAAATTTTTTAAATTAAAAATATAATTATAAATAATTAATATTGTAAAAGTAATAGATAAAGATAATAATTGTAATGCTGAGGTATTACTGATATAATATAAAGTAGTACTAGGTATAATTAGAATAGTTAGAATTATTAATA